CGGTACATACTTGTTGCCATCGATGTGGTAAATGTAGTGGTACAAAACACCACCGACAAGCTCCAATTGTTTAAGTTGTCGACAGAGTCTGGCGTTTGAAGGAGTAGTAGAGCCGGTCAAGCGGTCACCAATGGTGCGGCAGTATGGGTCGACGTGTTGTTGTTAAACAAGGACAGATAGGGTGGCAGGTGATAAACTTAGCGCTGCAATTGGAGAGGTGCCGTCGTTTTGGAGTATCGATGGTGAGTGGCTTCCGCTGGGCAAAGGACAGCGCGATAGAGCATCAGCATCTTGATCTGTAGGCAACATCGAAATCATACTCCTGCAAGCGAAGTGCCCAGCGACCGAGGCGACCCGATAAGTTTTTCAGCGATGAAAGCCAGCATAGGGCGTTAAGGTCGGTAACGACGGTAAAATGATGGCCGTGAAGATATGGTCGGAATCTTTGCACTGCCCAAACAACAGCAAGGCACTCCTGCTCAGTGATAATGTAGTTATTTTCTGGAGCGGTAAGAGCGCGGCTTGCGTAAGCAATGACGCGTCCGCGTGAGTTTTCGTCACGCTGCAAGAGTACCGCACCTAGACCATGACTACTTGCGTCGGTGTGAAGGATGGTGGGTGCGGTGGAATCGAAGTGGCACAGTACCGGATCCGACGTGAGGGCTTGCTTCAATGCCGTGAAAGCACTTTCGCAGTCTTCGGACCAAATGAAGGGGACGTTCCTTGCGAGGAGTTAATGGAGCGGAGACGCAAGTTCCGCGAAGCCACGTATGAAGCGCCGGAAGTAAGAAGATAACCCAAGAAAGCTGCGCAGGTCCTTTTGACGTAGTGGACGAGGAAAATCGAGGACGGCGGCAAGCTTCTCGGGGTCGGGCCGAATTCCTTCCTTGCTGACAAGGTGGCCGAGAACCTTGTCTGTCTTGCTAGCAAAGGTACATTTCTTGGTGTTAAGCTGTAGACCGGCTTTTGCAAGGCATTTGAGGACTTCGTCAAGACATTGTAGATGCTGCGAGAACGTGGATGAAAACACTACTATGTCATCAAAATAGTACAGACACGTTTTCCATTTCAAACCATGCAATACGCCGTCTGTCATGCGTTCGAAGGTGGCGGGCGCATTACAGAGTCCAAAGGCATCACATTAAACTCGTACAACCCATGTGGCGTTGAAAAGGCAGTCTTCTCTTTATCAGACTCCGACCTTGGTATCTGCCAGTAGCCTGACCTAAGGTCGAGGCTAGAAAAATACTCTGCGCCCTGTAATGAATCCAGTGGATCGTCGATCCGAGGGAGAGGATAAACATCCTTGCGTGTTATTTTGTTTAGTGCACGGTAATCGACGCAGAAACGCACTGTCCTGTCTTTCTTTTGAACGAGAACAACTGGGGATAACCAGGGACACGAGGAAGGACGTATGATGTTGCGTCGTAGCATGTCTGAGACGTTTTCCTCAATGATCTTGCGTTCTGCCTGAGACACGTGATATGGACGCCGATGTACAATACGAGAGCCGTCAGTCTGGATGCTGTGAGTAGAGATGGTAGTCATGCTGAGGGCGGGCGAGTTCACATCAAATAGAGAACGGTGTCTATTCAACACGGCAAGCAAATCTTCAGGTTGATCAGGTGTTCAGTCAGTGCTTATGGTTGCCGACACACGTGTGGAAGAGGCATTGAATGGCAGTGATTGTGACTTTTGGACATCGTTGTGGTTGTTGTTCAGAAGAGTAACAATCGCAACAGGCTCACTGTCGACCGCCCAAGATACTGTTGAGCCACAGGGGAGCACTACACACTCGGGTGTTTGATTTATGGCGGTTACGTAGGTAGACCCATCGAAGAAGTGAATAAGCCCTGGTGCGATCACAATGCCCCTACGTAGTGTATGGCCGTAAGGGAGAATTAGTACGTCACTCCCCACAATGTCGGTGCAATTAACACTTATAATTTCTTCGATGTATGACCGAAGCACATAATTTGACGTGGTGACAAGGCGGATGCGTCCATCGTGTTCAAGTGGAGAAGAGTCAGTGGCATTTAGATGCAGGAGGCGCTGATGAGAAGATATGAAAGCGGATGCAGAAGACAAGAAATCCCACCCCAGAATGAGAGCGTGGGTGCACTCATGAAATACCGCGAAAACGATGTGATGACGAATGCCTTCGATGCAGACACAAACGGTACACTGTGCAAGTGGACGAATGAGAGTGTTGGTCGCCGCACGGAGAGATGGGCCACCATAAGGCGTGGTGACTTTTCGAAGGTGGGAACAAAAATTAGTACGAATAATCGAAACGGCAGCGCCAGTGTCTACAAGAGCCTCAACGCGTACACCTTCTACAAACACTACTATCAAATTCGATGGCCGCTCTGGAAGAATTGTTAGCTGTCCGGTGGACGCAGTTTCCCCTCCTAAAACTGCATTGGGGAGTTTTCGGCGTGGGCGTTCGCGGAATGGGAGGCGGGCCGCAGAGGTGACACTGAACGGTGACCTCGCGAAGGCGACCTGCGGCGAGACGTACGGGAATTCCCAGGCATATCAGTATGGTAGGTAGGAGACGGTGAACGGTAATAGGACGATCGGGAGGGTGGTCATACGTAGTTCATAGTCGGACGGAAGCTTTGATGTTCTTCAGGAGCGTAGCCGCGTTGCTCGTCTTGTTGGCGCTTTCGACAAAACTGAGCAATATGTCCTCGATAGCCGCAGTAGTAACAGATTGGTCGAGGTGGGCGCTGGCGCTGAGGTGCGTAGTAAGGCGATGCTTGCATTGGTGGTGACAACGAAGCCACAGGCGTATGGTCTGCTAGTGTAGGCACAGAAACGGTGAGTTCAACAGAGAGCGCAGCAACTTCGGCGTACGTGCGCGTCTGGCGCACGCAGGGACCGTTGGGACACGTCGAACGCGATCTCTTGTTTAATCAGGTCTCGCAAGCTATATTTTTCAAAAGGGAGAGTAACTTCCGCAGCGCAGGAAGAGCAGCGCCCGTGAAGCTCTTTATGAACGATGTCGCGAATAAGCGCACGCAAGTCAAGGGGTGCAGGCAAACGAATGTCGGTAGCATCGTAGCAGAGGCGAAGAGACTGAAGCTCGTCAAGTCGCTGACAGATGGTTATCACATCCTGGGTGGTGGCAGGATTTTGCATGGCGAGGGCGTTAAAGGCGACGGTGTTAATGCCATTAATATTGTGGCGTATTTGGTCGTTCTGTGACATGCCGGTGTTAACGCGCTTGCATAGTGCAAAGACATCCTCAATATAGGAGGTGTAAGATTCACCCGGCAGCTGCGTGCGTTCACCGAGCTTCTTCTTTGCTGCCTCAGTCCGAACTGTAGGGGCACCAAATATTTGACGAATTTGCTGCTCGAAAGTGTCCCAGTCGGGAAGATCCGGGTGGTAGTTCTAGAACCACGTTTTCGCAACATCGGCCAAGTAAAATGGGATGCTCCGCAACTTCTGTGAATTGTCCCACCTGTTCAAATCGCTGACGAGGTCGTAGTTCTTGATCCAGTCTTTGACATCATCGCCTCGGAGACCGGAAAACACAGGTGGATCACGCAGGCGAATGTTGTTGGGCAGAGCGGGTTGTGGTGGCTGCAGTGGGACGGCAACGCTGGATGGGCCAGGGTTTTCTTGGGCTGCCATGGCTGGGGTTTGTATGCGACGACCCGAGCGGAGCTCCAGCGAGAACGGGCGAGAGGACTTGAGGGAACGAAAAGCACCGTCCACCACTTGGGAGGAACTGGTTCATTCAGCCAGGCTCGAGCTAAATCACACTGGTGATAATATTTACAGATGATGAAGATGTACAGGTGATGATATCTAAAGAGAATGAAGAGTCATTCGCTTGTCGCGCTCACAATATTCCTAGACAGAATAGGTAAGTCATGACGCCCTTACGTTGTGAGAAACATGCGACATGAGTGAAGCACGTCTTGTTTTCCGCAGGTGCATATTTCAGCTGACTATTAGATTTGTTCTTTTTTTCTTCTTTTTTTCTTGGTGCTGGAAGTAGCAAGTCTAGAAAGCTTCAATTACAACTCATTAGTGTCACTACACTGCATTGCATTATGGGCTCTTAAGAGTGGTCGTTTCCGTGAATTCGCGGTGAGTTCAAGATCGGGTATTAGCACAAAACCAACAAATTTTTCGAATCCTCTGCACTGGTGCTGACACCGCCACTTCAAATTATCCACTAAGACTTACATTGCAAAATAGAGGATTACGATAATAGTTCAAATTAAGCAGGATTCTGAAGCAACTGAGTGTGAACTAATGAGGTTTTACTGTATTAGTATTGCAAAGTTTTAACAGAAGATTACGTCCCTTTTTTGAACAAAGAATATGATAATATTGCACGTCATAGAAGAAACAACATTTCAATGAGTTCCCTCATCGTAACGACACCTGAGGCCTGATACCCCCCCTGTAAATGGTATTGTCTGAAACAGCCGCTGTTGATTAGAGCTGATCCCAGTAATGATTAATATGTGTGGTTTAACGTCCCAAAACCACCATATGATTATGAGAGACGCCGTAGTGGAGGGCTCCAAAATTTCGACCACCTCGGGTTCTTTCACGTGCACCCCAATCTGAGCACACGGGCCTACAACATTTCCGCCTCCATCGGAAATGCAGCCGCCGCAGCCGGAATTTGAACCCGCGACCTGCGGGTCAGTAGCCGAGTACCTTAACCACTAAACCACCACGGCGGGGCTGATCCCAGTAATGAATGCACCAGCATGCCATAATACAAAAACAATGAGTAGGAACACTGCAAATGTTCCGTAAAAGTAACCCACTAGATTAAAAGCAAATTTTGCATTTTTATTTAGTACATATGTACTTAAGTATTGTCAGAAGGATACTTGGGCTGATTAGATCCGCTTTTCATTATTAGACTGTGACAATGGAGAAAAGCATATGTTTTTATAACCAAGAGGCCGCAAAGATCAGACATTGAATTCTTTACAGTGAGGTCATTATAACGAGATAGAACATACCATTCCCAAGGGTCATCATCACGACTTATGCTGTCAAGGTTGTTGTTGTTGTCATTGTTGCACTCGGCATCCTCTTTGGACAAGCAGCACAGGTATCGCCGGCTTTGCACAGAAGGTGCCTCCATGGGAATAGCAATCCAGGCCTGAAATACCAACTGTAAGGTGCAGGCATGATTACACAACATCTACACGCATTTGTTTAAATTCAGGTGAAATTGAATACAACGGTCAACTTACAAAAGGAACATGATCAGCCCGGTGGATGCTTGCCATGCAAAGAAGAAGTAAAGTAGCACAAGAAAAAAGCACAAAGAGTATGCATACACCACATATATATAGAGTCAAGCAGTAAGCAGATACAAGATGTCCATGATTTCATAAACTACTGTCCGACAAAGATCCCATGCACACAACTAAGGTACAAAAACAAACCTGTTCTTATGAAGCACCGCTGGAGAGCTCACTACAGCCTCATAAAAAGACCCTTTATAAGACGGAACAGGCAGGCAAGTACATAGCACACATTCCATGGCTGTGATTGTGAACAGAGGAAAAGCCTTGGTGATGCATGCAAGGCAATGGGTGGCTCAAACAACGAACTGCTTCCCAGATGAAGCACATGGGAGCTCTGGAAAGCCACACCAGTTTAGTAAAAGATGAAGTGCTACGACAGACAACACAAAAGAATGCAAACAAAAGAGTTACTGTTAATGCCTCCCGGTAAAGAGTGAGCCTTCATTGATTTGAGCCTGTCGTAGAATTGAGCTTTTTGTAGAAATGCATCGTAGAACATATCAAGATACAATATACTGCACGAGCTAGTCATCATCTTCATCGTGATCAGCATCACAGTCATGGCGTACATGGTGTACCTTGCATGTGCTTCGCCGTAATGGCGGAGGGAAAATGTGTGGTCTGGAACACAGTTGTTCTTCAATGTCATCAGCGTCACTGTCATCCTCATTGTCGGCGGAAGCTACGACGCACAATGCCAACGAACAAGCCACGACCTTAACGAAGCCCCTAGAAAAGTCTACTATGTACATAGAAAAGCCATTGTAATATTTTCAACCTCATCTCCTCCCCCCAACTAATGAGAGATAACTGCAATGAGCATCTCTACTTGCACAAAAAATCTAATCAGATTGAATTCCTATCTCGGTTTCTGACTGACAAGACTGCCAATTATCGTAAAGGATATCTGTCACCACTAGCAACTATAGACTGGCATCACATGCAAAACTACATACTCGTACATGAAGACCGATACATTTAAAGGCCAACTCCGGTGATTTTTTGACCGTGTCAGGATAATGGTGCTTTCATGTTTCTGAGACACTCTTGTCACACGCCTGATATCTGAAATTCTCAATAAATTTGAAAATAATTTTTAATTCCTGAAAAACTGTAATACCGAAACCGAAACCCAACCGAGTGCTCTTCTATGTGTGACGTAATCATTTGCCCGAACCTGCCTGATTGCGCATAATACCTGCCTGATGGCACTACCTGTCCATGCCGTCCACCACGATCGGCTAAAACGCTTACGTTGTTATAGTGAATATATGACGAATCGTGTGTGGCTCACAATGCAACACCACTTGCCACCTATTGCAAGCCTACCAACATGGAAAAGGAAATCGCACGCTCAAAGGAGGAAGTGCCGGCCAAACCCACAAAATCTGTAGCAGACAAGCAGACGACGCTGCAGTGGCACATCAGTTCCGTCACTTCCACCAGGCAAAACTCAATGTCACACGCACAATGCTGCCATTAATTCTGGCAAGTGAGGTGAGCGTTTCGAGGCAAGCTATAAAAATCATTTGAAAAGAATCTGCGAAACTCTCAAGCTTGCAATTCAGCATGAATGGTGCAAACATGCAAATGAACGTACCCAGTAAATTTCATTGAGATCCATTCACCTCTAGAAATCGCCGGCGTTGGCCTTAAGAGCTCCTTTCCTAGAAGCTTCAGTGATCATCACAAGAATGTCATATGACTCTATACTTACCCTAGCAATACTGTCCGTTACTTCTCATTATTATTGCGTCTAACAAAGAAAACAAGCTCTTCAATTTCACTTTCCTAGCAACAGCTCTGGTCACACATGCGGTAACCTGAATACCTTTGATGAAAATTTCTCTCGGGTTTTCGATATACAGTGAAATCTCGGTATAACGACGTCCAGGGGACCGCAAAATTTGTTTGTTATTTTGAAAGGTCGTTACAGTGAAAGCTCGGAAATCAACCATAAATACTTATTTTTCACCGACCAAAACAACTTACCTTTACAACAATGGGTCCTTCAACTCGTTTTTTACGAGAAAAAAAAGAAATGCACAAGTACACACCAAAAAATGCACGTTTACTTTAAAGAAGCCTTTTTTTTTTTTTGACGCGAGCCGCACAAACTTTACAGCGCGAAGGCCTCCAGCCCATCCACATTCCTGTGGTGCGATTCGGTTCTTTGGTAACAACAGCCTGCTCTTTGCCTTCCAGTTGCCGAAGAATATTTATCTTCTAGCTTAGTGAAAACTGCTTCCGCTTCTGCGTCGCAAGCAGAGACGAACTGATTAGTAGTATCACCGCAGTGCGAACGACGACTTGCTTTGTGGTCATGATAAGTAATCACCAAAAAGAGCTGAACACGACTGAAAAAACAAGGCCTCCAAAGAAAAACTCGAAGCGTGACGGCTGTCATCGCCTTTTTCGAAGAAAAGAAAGTGCTAAAAAAGAAAATTCCTCACGTTTCGTTTTTCGCTCTCTCGCTGTCTCAGGTTTTCCGCGTCCATGCTTGCTGTTCGGCAACTCCCACTCTGCCTCGCTGACCCTGCCCTCGCCTCTGCGTTCTCTTGTAAACCTGCAGCGTCGGCGTTTCAACAAAAAGAAAGAAAAAAAAGTCGCCCTTTGTTTCTTTTTTTTCACACTGTCGCGCGTCTTTCGAAAAGAAGGCGTCCGTTTGCTTTGTCGTCTGCTTGCGTACAGCTCCGGTGGTCGCGACGGATTTTAGAACATAAGTTCGTAGTACTGAGGCATTCTTAATATAATGCGGAACCAAATTAGCACTCGTTATTCTGAAAAGTTCAGTATTCTGAAGTACGTAGTAGTGAAAAAATTTTACATTGAAATTATTAGCAGTCGGCGCGGGAGTTTTTAAAAGTTCTTTAATCTGAAAAGTTCGTTAATGTGGGGTTCGTTCTACCGAGATTTCACTATATATTGCCACGGGCATGGAACGAGATTGGGCCATGCCAATGCGTGAATGTGCCACTGTGAGAAAGAAGAGTAAACGGTAAGCTCGTGTTTCTGGTGACCGGTTTAGCCTTTGTCTGCACGAGGAACATACGAAGTCTACTGTATCAAGCGACACAAATTTCCAGTACCTTAGGCATCCGTGGAATAGCTCATGATGCAACACAAGACAGTTGAAAGTTATGATAACAAAATTGCGGTGCACAATACAGTCATTAAATTTTTACTTACACAGGCCTGGATTCGTTCATTCCCCCCAATGAATCTTTCGTAATGAAGCAGAAATAATCGAGCACTTCTTCATGGAGTGTTCAGATATCAGAGCCTAAAGCAAAGATTTCTAAAACCACCTTTTCAAAAAAGAGGCCTTGAGCTTTCGACATCGGCATTGCTGTACTTTGAGCTTTCTACATCGGCTTATCTCGAGAACTCTGCGCACTTTGTTCGAAAAATATGAAGCCACTATGGCAACTGACAGAGTTTTGCACCCAGCTGCAGAGATACCTTCCATAACGCTGACCAGAAGGAACAAGCAGAGCGTCTCCTCAATTCTCGAAATCAGCGCCTGAACGAGAACATTGCTATGTTCGTTGAGGATATGTTGCGGCTGTTCAGGTGAGCTGTCTCCTCAATGAGGGAGAGAGGAAGGTGCACCTACTAATGCAGGGAACGAAAGAGCAGTCCTTCGCAGCACTAATGTGCAACCCTTCCAGCACTGTGGCGGATTTCCACCACAAAGCCACGACGATGGACCAAATGATAAGGCAGTGTTCATCGCAGTATGAGCGTCCTGGCAGTCTTTCAACTGTGCCATTGCCCCTGGCAACACCCGGCGTCACAACCATATGAGACCTCGCAGAGCTTGTGCGCAGTATTGTGCGCGAGGAGCTGCTGAAGCTGCATGCGGTGTCTCCTCAGCCCCATGTTGCTGCTCTAACAGATGTCGTCCGTGAGGAGGTCCGGCTGATGGTCCAACCCATGACAACTACGCGTCCAGCCGAGATCTAACCCTAGCATAACCCCACGTCCAGCTGAAGCTCCGCTTTTAACATACACGGAAGCGTTACATACTGCTGCACAGGCTGTCGGCTATCTGTGCTGTCTGTCCACCCTGCAGACGGCGCCGTTCTACTCGAGCTCACATACGCACGGCAACTCGCCACTTATACAGAAATCCAGTGTGTGGCGTGCTCCCAACAACCAGCCTCTCTGTTATCACTGTGGTGAACCAGGTCACATCTGCCGTGAGTGTGTATAAAGGCACTTGAGCCTTCCTTGCTTTCGTCTAGATGCTCGTTGACCCAGAGATGGTGAGCGGCCCTATGCTATTGCCGAGTATTTGGCAAGCCAGCAGTCCCTAACCATTCTGTGTCGCCAATCCCACTCACCGTCTCCATGGCGCTCCACGTCACCCTCCACATCACAATCAATCTTTGCGGACATCCTTGCAGGATAATCGCCTAGGTCCACGAGCCCGAGCCAGGGAAACTAAGAACAGCTGGGGGTGAGGCCGCTGTTGATTGACCGTTAAAATACCCTCCGCCGAACTGCCTGCCGACATCCGACGACCTCCCTTGGCCGACGTATGCCATCAACGTCAACTGTGTATCAGCTTGCATCAGGTCACCTACTGACACCACTTGGAAGATGTACCGCATGGCTCCAAACATGTGAGTCAACGTACATTGCCTTATTCGTCATGTTGCGCGAGTGCTCACAAAACTTTATTCTCGCAATGGATTTCCTACACGACCATGGAGCGGTTATTAACTTTTGCGACCTGCTCATAACGCTTTCTGATGACCATACGCCCAGACAAAAAGATACCACTGCACAGACCACAACACTTAGAATTGCTGACAACACCATGATTGATTTGTGGGGTTTAACGTCCCAAAACCAC